TCGGAATTAACACTACGTTATGGTCACGTGGTACAAGTTTTCAAAAATAAAGAATTTCTTTCTTGATAATGACTGAAGCCGTTCAAAAGCTTGGAACCTTAACAAGAACATGAACTTCTGAAAATTGTTTTACACCCGGATTTAGGAACATTGGTCTAAAGAATATTGGTCTAAGGGAAAACTAAGGACATTTGTCTAAGAAATACACGTCTAAAAACCTTAGTTTATGGAAAACCCGTCTAAGGACCATTAGTCTGTAATAATATTTTTTTTTAATGAATTAAAACTTTATTCATGTAGAAAATACTCAATTTTATTGATATTCACTATATTACAGAATAATGTTTAAGACACTTCTAACAACATTAATTCCTGATGATAAATGTGGTTTATAATCATGTAATAGCATGCATTGTTAGTTATATTAATACTAAAACATTATACCATAATTCTCTTGGGGAAGATTTCTTTGTTGTATAATCTTTAGACGAGTATTCCTTAGACCAATATTACTTAGACTAATATTCCTTAGACGAATGTTCTTAGTACTTACTAAAAAATAAAAGAAAACTTATGTCTGTTATTTTTAATAAAAACTTGTGTGAATGTGTAGACCTAGCCATAGCATAGAAGAACAGGATTCCTCCATCATGCAACTCCATATCACACGGACTAAACGTTGCCTGTTTTCTCTACTTATATATATATATATATATATATATATATATATATATATATAACTCTTACCATGTAATCGATCCTGACTTAGCATTTCAGCTTCAGTCATTTTCTCACAGACGTAACGTAGTTTCCCTCTGTCTTTTCTACAAATATTCTATAATATTCTGCTCTGACGAACCCTTGTACCCCGACGACATGAATTTAAGCGAGCTACTTGATTGGCATCTAGATCCCACAGTTTTACTCTTGAAATATTTAAATGTAACTGCCACTTCTACTCCAAAAGTTTCTTTTCTCGTACTTCCCGCCTGTGGAAATACTTTCCGTTTACTTGCTTCCCTGAAAACTACAATCTTTAAAAATTTAAATGCAACGTCAATCGCCATCTTCTGTCCTCTTGAATCCCGTTCATCTGTTATTCTTTCCTCAATTCTCCCTATAGTCATTTTTTTTATCTCCCTTTCATTACCTATTGCGTACTCGTAGCATTATCGTCGCCTTACTTGAAGTGAAATGATTAAAACAAATACGTGTGTGGGAGTGCATGGATTAATATGAATTTATCGAAGTATAAAACTTTCCCCAAATCTGTAAGGTGAATTTTAAATATCATTTGATTTGAACGAGTAAAAAGAAAATGTAATAGAAAGTTTCCAGTCTTGATATAACAATTATCGGCACGAAAAGGGAAATCGACGATCCGAGTTCAAATCTCGGTCAAGTCTGCTGGGTTCAATTTCTCACTTAGGAAAAACATGAATTCTCTTCTCCCCAACAATAAGTTAAATAGCAAAGTTGAGTTCTCTCGCCTTGAATGGAGACCAGTTTAGGAGAACCATGGATAAAGGAATGAGAAACAAGCTCCACTGTCTTTCCCCAGGATGTCATGGCTATTCACAAATAATAATAAAGGAATTTGTGGAGTAATGATGACTTCCGCCCTGAAGAAATAAAAGTGTAAAATAACTCAATTCCCTTAGACCATATCCAATAGATCACTTTACACAGTTAAATATAAATATACACTATTATATATGGCGTCTTTTTAAACGGCTTCTATTTGAGAAAATATTAATTTCGAAATTTCAAGAGTCAAAGTGGAAAATTAGGCAATTTTTCCAGACTACATAAAAAACAGATTATATGTATATTCGTCTTATTGTAAAATTTTACAAGTACACGAATGTACTACGTATATTATAACTTGAGAAAGTTTAATTCTTTACATTTTTAAGAAGCATACGGTTTCTTTTATTTTTGGCAATCTAAAATGTTTTATCATGAAATGTTTTATTATACAAAATCATTCTGTGCAATCCATGGTGGCGGCCAAAACATTTAACAACCCAGGACGCCCCAGTAGTACCTCACGATACTACCAACATTTATTAGATTTACGCCACATTGCGGGAGTGCATTGTACAAGCAACTTCTGTCCTAATCTTGAAGCCTGTTTCCTTTGATGTCAACCAGAATTTATTTAGACTGACGTGAGAATGACACCCGGAATATTATTACGACAGGATAAGTCTTTATCAAAAAGCCAATATTTCGAACATCTGTTAACAAAAATATGGAACCGAAGAAGTAATTCGTAGAATTAACGAAAAAAAAAAAGGTAGTATGAAGCTTGAACTCGGTTTCCCGCGTCTCTCCATCGAGTGCCTAATCAGTGCGATGATTGAACTCCAGATGACAAATAAATTGGTGCTGGTCACCTTGGGATGGTTCCTCAAAAGAGAATCACGTATCACATCCAAACATAAATATTTTAATGATCAACTTCTTGTGAGCAAAATCAAATAACTCGCAAAAGATTTGTCCACCAGCCTTCAGATGACAGGTGTGTGCCACCCACGCCTCAACGAACAAAGGGGACAGCTTTCCTGCCTCACAAATGGAAAAGATCCATTTCCTCCTTGTTGTTTGTTTTGCCAGCGTGTGGAATGACTCAGTATCCTGTCTTCATACCGCGAGCAAACATTAAACATTCAATTGATTTGTTTATTTAACGGCATATCAACTCCTTATGGGTCATTTAATACCAAAAATTAATTTTACTGGGAACCTTGACTTAATAAAAATATGATATATGATATGTTATTCTGCTTTCACAATTGAATACATGGTAGATAATACTCAGCTTTTGTGCATATATATGTTTGTGTGGACTTAATTACTAGAGGCGGTGATATGTTTTATGTTATATTTTTGTTGAAGTTATATTTTGGAATGCAGTTTGATTTCATTAAGAAATTGTAGGAAATTATATGGACTAATGTCATGAATGAGTTCTTTTATGTTGGTTGTTTGGTTGATTCTGTTTGGCAGTAAATCAACTTCTATATATTTAGATTTCGCGATTAAGTAACCACTTAATACCGAAATCTAAATATTTTGTACGGAATTTTTATGCTTTCAAATACAGATAATTTGTATATATTTTTAGACTTTCAGAGTAGAGGTATGTTTTTAAATATATATTGTGTAGATCATAAAATGCATTGTTGGTAATTTTACTATAAAAATCTACTACTGATTTGTGCTTGGGAGTTCACTATTTGCCCATAGCTGGGACCCTAACAGGTGCTACCACCCCGAGTCAGGATGAACCTGGGAACAACAGCAATTAAGAGGTGATTCCACGCAGTGATAGCATCCTATCGGTTCGTACCGTTCTTAAAATTTTAATAGCTTAGAGAACCGGTTGTTGGATTATCCGAATATATATTCATAGCTGATATATTAATAGCTCATATATTAATAGCTCATATATTAATAGCTAAAATATAATTAATAACATTGCTGTAAATTCTGAAAGAGCGTTTTCTGTGATGGACATAATTTATTCTGACAAAAGAAATTGTCTCAAAGTTTAAAATGTGGTAAATATTCTAGTCATAAATTTGATAAGTATTCCATTGGATCTTTGGGATTGCAACGATTCGGTCCGAATGCGGCTAAGAAACCATAACACAATTGGTGATTCTAGATTGAAAAAAAGCATCATACCTCTGAACAGATATATGATGAGAACAGAATTTCAATCTGGGAATATCTTAATAAATGTTTTCTATTAAATTATCAAAATGGTCAATTTTTTTTATAGTATAAAGTGATTTGTTTCCATTCTCAAATTGAAAAGAAAGTAAACAGAATAAGTTCCTAAAAATTATCTGCCTTTATAGAACCGGTTCCTGGAAATTTGGGATGCAATTATTGGTTCCATGTTCCTCAAAAGCCCCAGTCTCCCACATGATTATTTCGCGTTGCACAATGGGTCCCCATTCGATTGGTTAAGATATACACGAAGTTAAGTGGACTCTAAATAATGTTATCTGACTAGCGGTTTTTATTATGTTCCTTGCTGCCGAGTGTTGTTTATCATCATACCCAGGGTGATTAAGTATTCGACATGCCCTAAGCAGTCAGTAACACAAGGCAATGCACACGTGTTCTTATAATCACCAATTAACTAAGATAGAGAATGAAGAAATAAAGAAGCAACACAAAAATAATACTTGGATGCTCCTTACTTCAAGATAACACCTCCAAGTTTTAAAATGGCTTTTCCTCAATCAAAAAGACAAAAAATGTCGTTGTTCCTGGCTCAGAGACACTTGCAGTTCCAAAAGAGAAACCGCTATGGCTTCAGCCAAGCAACACAAAAACGTTCTTCACCACCGAAAAGTAGCTATCTAACTAAATCAGGGAGAAACCAATAAACGCTAGTCTGATATATGACCAACCAGTGAATTGAAACTGCCATCACTGTTTGCTTAATACTGCGAATAAATACAGTGCCTTGTGGTCGATTTCTATCTTAGTACTCAACCTTTGTCGCAAAACAAAACCCCTCCCCGCCAAAAAAAACAAAAACATGATTGACTCCTACGAGACGAATTTCGAAACATATCAGTTAGATATTGGGATAAGCGCGCAAAAGCGCCATATTGATAAAGATGCTTATTCTGCTCTCACGAGCCTCTTTTCCGCTCGCCACTTCCCAACAAAACCTCCACATACGATCTCAGGTAGAAATACACTGGTCGGTTGGTTGTTTTTGTTTAGCGGCATAGCAACATCTCTATGGGTTATTTAATGCTGAAATCTAGATATTTTGTACGTAATTTTTATTTTTATTTTCGGAGATAATAATGGTTTTCATGACACAAGGCTTACTAATTAAAACGTATCTGTGGGACGGAGGAGGAGAGTATTGCGCCTAATGAATATAACGAAGCCAAATGGAATTGGAACTTGACTCTCTGATTATTAATTCCGAGCCATTATCTATTTCACCAATCGCACATCCAACATTACAGCACCCGTTATTCCTAATCGGTCACCCATCGATGTACTGACAAGGCTCAACGTTGCTTAACTTCGATGATCGTACGGGAATCGGTGTTTCAGCGTGATGTTGCCGTTAGCCGAAATACACTGGTCATCCTGTTTCCGCATTTTCCCAACTTTTGTTTATGTACCCATTCGATATTAAAGTTTATTCAACAATATTACCGTTTTTGGACTGAACTGACTAGATTACAATATCAGGACGCTGGAGGGTTAAGCTCATCTCAACTGAAAAATCGAGACAGTGTTCTGGGTGAATGAACCAATGACAGATCATGAACAAAGTAATGAGGTAAGAGTTAGAGCAACTAAATTAGTAAGTCGTGGGGGGCTATGATCACTAACGTCCTGAAAGGTGACGATCTATGAAAGCAATTCAAGATCTACTGAATACCAGAGTGTCAGTCGTATGGATTGGTATGTCGCAGTTGATGTTTACATTTTCCTTACTACGTTCTTTGACGAAATTTATCATGATTTTGGTAGTAATGGAACATCATTCGTAGCTTCAAACACTAGCTTCTTTCCGGTAGAACCAGCTTATATCTGGAAGCACTTTCTCGTGTTACAATTTTAACATATATTTTAAAATTTAATATTTTCTCGGGTCATGGAAACGTTATATTTCACTGCTTACTAATTCAACATATACTATGAAGGGCATCAAACAGAGCAACCCAATTTAAAAGATATGAAAGCGGTAAGGCAAGCCTCGCTAACGGTTTACAGTAGGTCACGATTGCATGTGTATCGATTTCATGAGTAAAAACAGAGGAAAGGAAGATTATTTTTCGCGTGGTACAATGCGTCCCCATTCGATTGGTTAGGGCATCCCAGAAATTAAGTGGACTCTAAATAATGTCATCTGGGCCTGGACTGACTAACGGTCTTTATCACAACAGACTGAGTTAGCAGTAAAATCGAGATGGGAGAGTTTCAAATCATCCACTATAAGTAAGGAAAAGGGAATAAAATATAAAATTAATTAAATAAATAAAAACTTCCAGGATCAAGAGACACACAGTCGGAAATTAAGGAATTCCGGCCACTGGCTTATATACTTAGACCACATTGTAGATAAGGGTAGTTACGATTATACGAAGAGGAGTAGAGTCCGAAGAAGACGAAAGGAGATGGAGTTCTCCCTGGCCGAAGAAAAGATCTGGTCCGTTAGTCGGTCGTGAGAGAAGACAGAAATAAATGCGAAAATATTCCAAGTGTCACTTACCTACCACTAGACGGTGACAGATGAACTGAATCATGAATAAATAACCCTGTGTGTCGTAACTAACAGACTTCCTCCGCAAGGTGATATCCCGAGATGGCTGTTTTCGAAACTTTTCTCCCCGTATGATATTTCGCCTTCAGTCTCTTTGTCGAACGTACATACCAGTTTTATTCACACTGACACACACGGGAATTGAATCACAATGTGGTGCAGAAGCTGATAAATTGACGAAAATCTGTTTTAGAGATCGGGTCGTATATCCCCGTTCATATTGAAAATCTTTTGGCAAAGAATAGGCGTTTTTACACTCTTCATTATCCGTAGAATTCAATGGAAACAGTTTTGAGCAAATTGCAAATACTGATACCGCTTCAACGTATCAGTCTGCTGCTAAGTTCTGATTACACAATGTTTATATTGGAGCATACAAAATAACTGTTATACCACATCATTGTAGTTTTGATAAAGTTTCCATCTAGATTACTCCTTTAAATTGTTTTAAATGGTTATTTTACAAGCAAGAAAAATACAGGGAACAATGAAAAAAAAAACAATTAAAAAAACACGAAACTTATGGCATTTAAAATGAAATAAGTGCTCAGGGATATATCTTCCAGGCTTGCCCGCCATTTTCTGAAAAATTCAGTTTGGAAATTGAAATTTATAATCAATTTATGAAATCAATTTTAATGAAATGTACGAAAAGCGATGGACTGCATTTCGAGATGTAAATGTGTTTATAGATTTTCTTTTTTTTCAATAAAAGTATGTCTTGTACAATCATCGATATGACAACCATGGATAATGATTGTATGAATTTCTGTGAAGCTTATTGTAATTTGAACAGATATTTTTTATGCTTCTGCAACTATAGTAGAACAGTCCATTAGCGTTTTCTGGTTTTTAGAGATCACTTAACTTGGTGGTGAATTGCGATTTCATCTTTTTAGGTTGAATTAAAAGAAAAAGGGGAATAAATAGAATTGAAGAAAAATAAAAAAAAGGGGGGAGAAAAAGTTACTTTAATGAATCTGTGCGCCCAAAACTAAATTCCCCAAATCAAAATAATATTTTATTTACATTATTTACATGTAAATTGTTATTCACAACTTTGTTGTTGTTATCACGACGTTTCGACCGTTGTCCTTTTCGGCCTTCATCAGATGTATGTCAATCCAAGTAACCTACAACACTCTTCATTTAATATATTATTTAAGTATTCTCGTTCTACTGCCTATGTCTAGGGATATCTCGTCTAGTTTTTTTTAGTACTGCTCCACTGAATCTCACATGACAATCCACCCTAGTAAATAAAAGTTTTGGTTCGAGAATTTGGTTTACATATTGGCCACGAAGAGTGTACTTGGACCCAGACGAAACGGGACGAGCAAATAACTGAACATTACTAAATATAAGAACTAGATATGGACTGTGGAACGAGAACTATCTACTCCCGTAGATTAAATAAAGGGATCAGTTTAAAATGCTCTTTAGTTTACCTGGATCGGCATATGTCGAAACGTTGTGACAACAACAACAAATATGAGGTCAATATAATGATAACTCTTCATGCCATAAATTCAGACAGAAAGACTATCGCTATTGACATGACCAATTCCACTATTTAGTTCTACTAATTCAGTCAAATGACAGCTAGGACAAAACATGCCACTTCCAAACACTTCGAATCACCTTTATTTCCCCCGTATACAAAATATCATCAGAAAGTTCCACTCCGACAGCTTTTCCACAGAAGTGATATTTTGGAAGAAGACTACACGTGTATAATTCCTTCAATACTACAATTTTAATGTCTTCCAGTCAAGGTTCAATCGTTGTCTATCCCCCATATCCTCATAATTTTTATCTCCTACGATCTCACATCACACCTCATTCAACATAACACTCTACCTTGAATAAATCTTGAGCCTTGTATTGGATGAATATGGATATTAAAATTCAGTGCCTAATCGCTTGTTAACGGCACAATAAAAACAATTAAAAATTTAAATCCACCTTATTACTAGCCATTTGAATAAGTAAATCTCCAGAAGAGATTTTGTGAAAAAACAACTTAGAATGATAAAATGATAATATATAATAAAAATATATTAATAAAAATATAATAAAAATGAACCATATAATATTAAGAATAATAAATTATAAATAAGAAAAATAATTTAAGAAAATTAAAAATTATAATAATAATAAAAATTAAAATAATAATAATAATAATAATAATAATAATAATAATAATATCAATTTTATCAAACAAAGTATGTACATATGGAAAACAACACTTCAACTTAATCATATAAATGGTATTTATAAGTTTGGTGAAATAAACATCAACATATAAATATTTCAATGGGACTCTTTGTCTCCTTTAGCATTTTGTATATCCCTAATAGCATTAACCAGCGATCTTAACAGGGCAGTATATGGCTATAAGAGATCTCAAAAGAAAATAAGCCATCTATTTTATATGGATGACTTTAAGCTGTATGCTGGAAGGTCTCCTACAACCAACCTGATCTATTAACAATCAAAGATTTAGAGCAAGAAGAAGCTTATAAGTGCCTCGGTGTAAATGAGGGTGAAGGAATTCACCATAAAAAATGACAGAAATATTGCGAAAAGACTTCTATGGAAGAATGCGACTTATTAAGAACTGAATTAAATTCTCAGATTAGAATTATGGCCATTAATAGCCTTGCCATCCCAATGGTTCAATCTATCTTCAGCATTTTGAAATGGACTCTAAATGGCATCAGACGGATGGATTCTAAGGCAAGAAAGTTTCCTTAATGATGAAAACTGCTTATACATACCCAGTAAAGAAGTTGGAAGAGGTTTTATTCAGCTAGAATTGTCATGCAAGATATGAACTTTGCTTTACTAACATACGTGGAAACAACAAAGGATTGGATGATACAATTAGTCAAACAGCTCGAAAACTGAAAGAAAAATTATTCAATCATGAAAGGTTGTAAATACAAACGAGATTTACATTTGATAGATTTTGTAGAAAACAAAACCAGAAACCAAGAAGCAACTATTGCGGCAAAAATATGAAAAAGAAAGCCAAGAATAAAGCTCTTGAACAAATGAAACAACGCTGGTAAGATAAACCTCCGCATGGCCAATATCAAGAACATGATAATTGATAAAGTTAACACTCATCAATGGTTACGAGCATCAGGAAAGTTTGGAATGGGGGGCTTTAGTTTTGCAGCGCAAGAGCAGAGTCTTTTCACTCGGAACTTTCAGGCAAAAATATACATTATAGCGTGGATCTAAAATTCAGGTTGTGTGACAAATATCAGGAAACCATAGACCATCTAATCTCAGGATGTTCTATACTTGCACCAAATGAATATAAAAATCATCACGATAGAGTGGGGCAATATTTACACTGGACAATGTGCAAACAATTTGGAAAAGATGTTAACACTGGCATAAATATCACCCAGCACCTGTCACAGAAATAAAGTCATCACAATTCTATGGGATTACACCATCTTTACAGACAGAAAGATTGAAGGAAATTGGCCGGATATAATTGTCAAAAACCGAAAAGAAAAAACTTTTCTACTAATTGATATGGCTTGCCCAGCGGACTGTAACATAACAACCAAGGAATTTGAAAACTATCGAAGTATATCTGGAAATCGAAACATAAATAATGTGTAAATTGAAAATAAGAATAGCACCTGTCATAGTAAGTGTGCTGAAAAAGGACACAACAACACATTGAAAAATCTCTGGAAATTTCAACAAAAGAGAAATGGAAAAAAGTTTGTCTTGATAAGTACGCCCGACACACTAAGACCTTTATCCATGTA